TTTTATTAAAAAAAAAACTATTTAAATTATAATAAAAATTTAATATATAATTATAAACTAAACATATAATAAATATTTTTTCTTAAAAAATTAATCATTTAATATCGATTGTATAAGGAAATTTTTTTAAAAAAATCTAACTAAATATCTCATATAAATACCTCTTTACTCTTTTTTTTAATCTTATAATTTTAACATGACAACAAATAACTTTCATGATACACTGATTAATATTCAAATTTAAAGAATAAAATATATTAAAAGTTATTGAATTGTATATAAATGATTATTTTAGTTTGTCAAAAAAAATAGTTTAGTTATTAATTTTTTAAAAGTTACAAAAATAATTTTTAAAATATCAAATTATTATAAATTATTATTTTAATATTAGGACAATTATAAAAACTAATAAATTTAATAATATTATGAAAATCTAATGATAATTTTATAATTATTTAATATTTTTTACAGAAAATTACACATTTAGTATTTAAACTATCAGTTTTGATCCGTTTTAGTATTTAAATTTTTAATTTTTTTTTCAAAATCATATATAACGTTTAGTTTTTGTTTTTGTTTTACTTCCGCTGTTAAAAATTTAACGCGTTTAGTATCTAAACTATCAATTTTAGTTCGTTCTAGTAAACTTAACATTAAATTTTGAAGGTATTAAAATGAAACAAAAACTAAATTTTAAATATGATTTTAAGTAAAGTGATAGTTTAGATAGTAACAATATAATTTACCCTAATTTTTAATACTACCTCGTGTGAAATATACGTTAGCGAAAATCTCAAACGGTTACCAGATTGGAACTTTCGCGACAGTCATAGCTGGCAAGAGCTTTCTCGAATCGCCTCAGTTCTCTATGGAAACGAAGACTTTCCCCAGAATAAACAGCGAAACTTCATTAAAACAAGACCAAAACGGCATCATTTCATAGAACCATCGAGAACCCCATGCCCGCCCCCTTGTTTTTCCCTCGCTAAGTTATCTCGTCGAAGGGTCTGGAACCTCGTTTCAATATATAAATACGTTCAAACCATTTCTCTTCGAATCACCAAAGTATCAGTTCCAACACGGTAAGTTCTTAGCTTTCTTCTGCTAAAAAGATTTCCAGATCTGCATTCTCTGTTTGGTTCCTTTGGCGCACGAGGCAATGGCGGACGTGCAGATGGCTGACGCGGAGACATTCGCCTTCCAGGCCGAGATCAACCAGCTCCTGAGCTTGATCATCAATACTTTTTACAGTAATAAGGAGATTTTCCTTCGTGAGCTCATTAGCAATGCCTCTGACGTACGTATTCTTCGTCTCTGCCATTGCTTTAGTGCTCTTTTAAAATTTGAAGGAAAAATTATATATGCTTAAGGTTTAGATTGTGGTTATACGCCTAGTCTGGTAGTTAGCTCTTCTGTAGACATTCTTTTGTTGTTGAATGATGATCTCTGTGGCTAGAAGATCAACTCATTGTTTTGATATTACGGTGAATTTAAATCAAGCGGATTTGATTTTGAATTTGTAGTGAGGAAGTAATATTTGAAGTTTTTCATTTAGGAAATTTTCAATCGTTTTGTTTCTGTTTGTTGAATGAGAAGGCGTGATTATTTTGGTTATGTTGTGTTACAGGCTTTGGATAAGATCCGATTTGAGAGCCTGACTGATAAGAGCAAATTAGATGCTCAACCGGAGCTTTTCATTAGGCTTGTGCCGGACAAGGTTAACAAGACTCTCTCCATCATTGACAGTGGCATTGGCATGACTAAAGCAGGTAATGCCAATGCAGTTTAGATTGTGGTAGAATTTGCTTGAAATGCTGTAGTTTGTACTGCCGCAGCTTCTTAATTTGCTTTGTTGTTCGTAAAATGCAGATTTGGTGAACAACTTGGGTACAATTGCAAGGTCTGGGACCAAGGAGTTCATGGAGGCACTGCAAGCTGGAGCCGATGTGAGCATGATTGGGCAATTCGGTGTCGGTTTCTACTCTGCTTACCTCGTTGCTGAGAAAGTCATTGTGACCACAAAGCACAATGATGACGAGCAATACATTTGGGAGTCCCAAGCTGGTGGCTCCTTCACTGTCACCAGGGATGTCGATGGAGAGCAGCTCGGTAGGGGTACCAAGATTACTCTCTTCCTCAAGGAAGATCAGGTAAATATTTCGCTTGTTTTCGACAAAAATCAGTACGTATTAATTTGTATGATCTTGGAAATTTGAATTGTTGTTTGCTGATTGTATTTGCAGTTAGAGTACTTGGAGGAGAGGAGGATCAAGGACCTAGTGAAGAAGCACTCCGAGTTCATTAGCTACCCGATATACCTCTGGACAGAGAAGACAACCGAAAAAGAGATCAGCGACGATGAAGATGATGAACCTAAGAAAGACGAGGAAGGAAACGTCGAGGATGTCGATGAGGAGGATAACAAATCGAAGAAGAAAAAGAAGATCAAGGAAGTGTCTCATGAGTGGCAATTGATCAACAAGCAGAAACCGATCTGGTTGCGTAAGCCGGAGGAGATAACTAAAGAGGAGTATGCCTCTTTCTACAAGAGCTTGACTAATGATTGGGAGGAACATCTCGCCGTCAAGCACTTCTCCGTCGAAGGACAGCTCGAGTTCAAGGCCATTCTCTTTGTACCGAAGCGGGCTCCGTTTGATCTCTTTGACACTAAGAAGAAGATGAACAACATCAAGCTTTACGTTAGGAGGGTGTTCATTATGGACAATTGCGAGGAGCTTATCCCCGAATACCTTGGGTTCGTGAAAGGCGTCGTCGACTCGGATGACCTGCCACTCAACATCTCTCGAGAGATGTTACAACAGAACAAGATTTTGAAGGTGATTAGGAAAAACATTGTGAAAAAGTGCATTGAGATGTTCAATGAGATCGCCGAGAACAAAGAGGACTACAACAAATTCTACGAGTCGTTTTCGAAGAACTTGAAATTGGGTATTCATGAAGACAGCCAAAACAGGGCCAAGTTAGCCGACCTTCTCCGATACCACTCGACGAAGAGCGGCGATGAGTTGACAAGCTTGAAGGACTATGTCACCAGAATGAAGAAGGGGCAGAAAGACATTTATTACATCACTGGTGAAAGCAAGAAGGCACTGTAGAACTCCCCGTTCTTAGAGAAACTGAAGAAGAAAGGATACGAAGTTCTCTTCATGGTCGATGCCATTGATGAGTATGCGGTTGGACAGTTAAAGGAATACGATGGCAAGAAGCTCGTCTCCGCCACAAAGGAAGGTCTGAAGCTCGAAGACGAGACCGAGGAAGAGAAAAAGAAAAAGGAGGAGAAGAAGAAGTCTTTTGAGGAACTCTGCAAGACAATCAAGGATATCCTTGGCGACAAAGTGGAGAAAGTTGTAGTCTCCGACAGGATTGTTGACTCGCCTTGCTGTCTGGTTACCGGAGAGTACGGGTGGAGTGCTAACATGGAAAGGATTATGAAAGCGCAGGCGCTGAGGGATAACAGCATGAGTTCTTACATGTCCAGCAAGAAGACCATGGAAATCAATCCCGACAATGGAATCATGGAAGAGCTGAGGAAGAGAGCTGAAGCTGATAAGAACGATAAGTCGGTGAAAGATCTTGTGCTGTTGCTGTTTGAGACGGCGCTTTTGACATCTGGGTTCAGCCTGGATGATCCCAACACATTCGCGGCAAGAATCCATAGAATGCTGAAGCTGGGTCTGAGCATCGATGAGGATGAAACCGGCGGTGATGATGCTGACATGCCTGCTCTCGAGGAAGACGAAGCTGAGAGAAGCAAGATGGAGGAGGTTGATTGAAATTATAAGAAAATTTTAGCTCAAGTTTCTTTATGCCCGTGAAGTTTCATTGTTCTGTTCTGATAGGAGTACCCGTATCCTCGTCTTCTCTGTTTCCGCCATATATTTTGCGATTCGAAATAACAAATGTCTTGAGGTCTTGTCATGTTATCTAAATATTAAGTGACCCGGTTCTTTTTGTTCAGTTTCTCAAGTATCTTGGCAATGGTTTTAGAAGTATAAAGAGTTCGAAATTTAGTTAAGCGTTGGGATCCGACAACGTAAAGCAACAGGCGAAGTCAATAATCCCACTACCGAAGATGAAGTCGTTATCGGTTCGGAAAGCACTCTCCCAGAATCGATCAGAAACAACAGGGTAAACAAAACCGGATAAAAATGGTGAATACATAAGCAACAAATTATGTTCTTTTAGTCATGGAGCCACTGGCAATCCCAGCAGCAGCTGAAACAGCAAAAGCCCAATGATAAAGGAAATTACTATAATCAAAGGAAGCAGAAGGAATGGATTGCAAGCAGCCATAAAAAGGGAACCGAAGGCAAAGGCGAATCCAAAAAGAAAATCATAAATACAAATAGTAGATACCATATAAATGTTAATTCTTCTAATATACGTAAGATTTTAACTAACGAATTGGTTCAAGTGATAAATATGCATAAAATTTTCGTTGAGAAATTCATCCACTAAAATCAAGTAGTAACCCAAATCGATTCAGATTAATCAGAATGAAATTTTAAAATTAGAAGACAATCAAAGATTTTAATTATATTCTTAATGTATCCAGAATTATATTTATATTTTACCGTATTCATTCTTAATCATGGAGTAATAAACATCTATAGAGTTACTAATGAAATTAACTCCAATATTGAAAATACACGTTTCAAGAAAGAGACACTACGAAGTATTTCTGGAAGATTGACCTTTTCCCATCTACCAAACACTTTAATCCCATAACAATAATCTATAAAATATCATCCGAATGTCATTCTATATATTTAAATAATTTTAAATCCTAAATTTTAAGCTTTAAACAAAATATATAATTTTAAATCCTAAACCTTACACTTTAAATAAAATATATGATATCAAAATAATCCATTTGTAGAATATCTTTTACAAGAAGCGAATGAGACAATAATCCTAAAACATTTGTCACCATTTTAATACCGTTGTTGATAAAAAATCAGCTGCCAGTACACAGAATATAACAAACAATAAAAAAAAACTTGTATATAAGCCAAAGCAGAGCAGCATTTTGTGGTCCATATATCAAACATAGCATTTCACCATAAAACAAGCAGTCAAAACTTAAATACAGAAGACAGGGCATTGTACCAAAATACCCCTTCAAAAACCAAAAAAAGGATAAGCACTGTACACTCTCTTCGCAATTCTTCTCCTTTCATTCTGCTGTACCCACTTCTTTTACCTTCTCTTCTATATACATTACCGCAGAACGGGGAAATTTATTCGGGAAGCAGCCGGTGGTCCTAACAACAATAAATATACTAACAGAACATCATACGGTATAGGACTCTCTTGATTATAAGCCCTTCTTGCTTTGAAAGAAAGAGTTCATATTTAATTATATACGAAATAGAAGAGTATGAAGAACAAACTGAAAGAGTTTAAGTAAAGCAAAAACCATCACCTACCTTGTTATGTAATTCTTCTACACCGATAAGTATCAAGTACCAGCTTGACATGCACCACCATGGTGGATTGTCTCCGTGTCGATCTCGTAGGAAGAAAGCAGCTTTCTCTGCATCATCAACCCCCCCCCCAACAAAACACAGAGTATTAGAAAGTATCATCAAACAAATTCGAACAAGACAAATATATATAATACAACAGAGCTTTACGGCCAAGATAGATCTACAATATCAAAAGAATTCAGCATTCTTTTTGGTCAAAGTGTCATATTTCTAAATGCTTGAAACGTAAAACTCATTGTAGTCCACATGGCAGAAAGCACAAAGCTGTTCCTGGTTTTATGTTATAGGCAGGAGTGTGCAAATCAAATTATATCTGCCAAAAGAAATTCCTGGGTATTCAACCATTTGACCCATTATAAAAAGAGATCTACCATAGAAAAGGAGGATACTAAGTACCGACATCACTACTTCTATTAATCTAGTTGCCTCACCCTGGAGGAAGAAGTAACCATTAGTAAGAGCTAGAAACTCACATGATCCTCGAAATCAGGACTTGTCAGATTGATGGAGAGGTTTCTCATCAACAACAGCACCTGAATAGGAGAAAGAAATATAAGCACAGATGTCGTCGCATCGAAGGCATGATCAGGCAAGATTATATAAAATGTCATGGTTGAAAAAAGGATTACAGTTTCAACGTCTATGGGATCCATCTTTTTAAGTTTCTGCAGATGACCAGTAGTGTTCGGATCAAAGACACTACCAATAAAACTGTATACTTGAGCAAAATCAGGCAACACTGCATGAAGCAAAAAAGTCATTTCAAGTGTGCGCGAATAAAAAAAGATGAACAATCACAGTTTTGAATTAGCACTAATAAAAACCTCTTAGTGCATGGCCATGATTTCCCTGATTAGTTATTTCCCCGGTTTCTCGAGTCTTAAGGGTACTATCGACGCTACCACAAGGCTTATTGGCAATCACAGGACCTATAATTGAAAGTATATGGCACATAATCAAAACCTTAGCCTGTAAGGGTCTGCTACCATAAATGAGTTCGATGTCAAAATGATAGACTTGGAAAGAATAAGAAACCTTTTTTAGCTTGTGAGAAACTGATAGTCGGTTCACTGTTTGTCCAGGAAGATGATGCAGCAGTAGCAATAGGGTCCATAAGCATCAATGAGGGATCAGATCCTAGAACATGGCCAGTGTCAACTAAAGCAGTTGATGACTGAAAAGACCCCGGTACTTGTGATTGCGTATGAGCTGCCAGATGTGACACAGAGAGACAGGATTTCTTATGTTGTGTTTGTTCTGTGATTACTACTCTTACTTAGGACAAAATATTCTCACCATTTTTTGAGGCCTTCTGAGGATATGGATGTGCTGCTTTCCTTTTAGGTCGAGGTGGAGGTAGGTGTTCATTTGTCCCATTCTTCTGGACCTTTAGAAAGTACTTCTGAGCATGACTACGAATCTACAGAAACAAAAAAAGGGCACTTCATTTTAAATGATTATTTTGGGCATTGTTAAACACAGATAATTGTTAGAATCTACACTGGTTTTCACAACATCACAAATCTGTGTCGTCTTAATGAAACAATGGAAAGTGTAGGATCCATGACCATGGGAGAGATCACCATGATAAAAAAGAACAAAAGATATTGTTAATTCCTAAACCACCCTCCTGCCTTCATTTTCCTTTTCGAAGTGCAAAACGAAAATTGACTAAGGAAAAAGGTTAGATACATTTCAGTTTACCTGAATAACAGTCTTTGACCCGACAAAGGCCTCAATTTTTTTCCAGTCACGATCAAATCTGACAATAATCAAGAAAAGAACCACAACAAGTGAGAGCGGGAAAACCTTTTCAACTAACATAGTCATGCAAAATCAAGCAACATAAAACTATTATAATTCCACTAAATCATCAAAAATATTCTACTATAACAATTTAAAAGCTTGCAAGATTAGTATCATCTCTGCAAATATGTGAAAAGGCTTACTGTAATTCAGTGCCTTTTCAGTTCAGATATGAACCCTAAACCTATCCGACATATGAAGAAACATATAGTTCAATACATATAACAAAAATGCCATCTCATTTGTCTTCCTCAGTTGTCCATTACAAATCAATCCTCATCCTACTTTCAAGTAATACCTATAAAACTTTCTTTAAAAAAAACCATTTCAGAAATTTCAAATTTAGCAATAAATAAGCCTTCAACATCAATTTCAAGTGAAATCCTTAAAACTGACACTCAAGCAATCAACAACCGTAATCAATTTCCAAAAGAAAATAAAGAGAGAGAGGCGAAAACCCTAATTCGAAAGAGAATCGGAGAAATTTCGTAGAACTAATTAGATAGAAAAATCGGTTTTAGAAATTACAGCTGGAGAGCCTCGAGGAACTTGTCGTGTTCGGGTTCAGTCCAGCTCTCTCTGGACTTGGTTATGGTGTAGGGTTTTCGGATTTTCTTATTCGGATCATCGGAAGATGAAACCGTAGACGCCGCCGCTGCATCGGTGGAGGCGAAGGGACCCAGTCCTGACAACGCCATTCCAGTCGGATCCAGGAAAAATCCCACGGCCGGGTTCGGGTTTTTTGATACCATGTAAGAATTTCGGGAGAGAGTTTCTTTTTTTTTTTTCCGTTTTAATTTAGCTTCGATGTACTACAAATGAACACTGTTGCGTTAAGAGAAGGTTGCATATATAAAAGGAGCAGGATGTGGATTAGATGCTGCGTGGCTTTCCATTTGAGATTTAAAATGGCGAATAAAAATCTGCCACGTTCTTTTTTTTTAAATATTTATGAATAATGTACACAAATTATTTCCCGATTAAATAGTGTTGTTTTGAATAATTGTTATCTATTAAAAGTTATAAAATGATTTTCTAATTATAATGTATTATTTTATTGAGTCTCTCGATAATTAAAAGTTATGAAATAATTATGTGACTATTTATTTGTTCTAAATTAATTCTCTTCTGTTAAAAAATTGACGACCTTCTGAGTTGGAAGTTAACATGCTCATTGAGATATGATACAATCTGATCTTAAGATTATTTAGATTGTACTTTGTGGATCGAGTTTTTATTTATTTAATGTCATCGAGTCAGTGTTTTAAACATTATATTGTCGAGTCGGCGTTTGAAAATAACGATGATGTTAGTAAACATCATTAAAATATAATTTTATCATCTCTTAGTTAGTAGACTAATGTTTAACTCAGACAATTGTACACTTTTTAAAGAAAAATAACGAGTTTAAAACATAAGAATAGTCATGTAACCATTTTGTGACTTTTAATAATCTTGGACTCAACAAAATAACGTCCTTAGTGGATGGATCATTTTATAGCTTTTAATGGTCAAAAGACTTAATAAAGTAACACCCTATAATGGAGGACTTTCGATATAATTTACCCAACATTTATCGATTTGGGACCGAAGTGGAGTCCATGTTGTACTACCATGGTATTTTGGATGCTTTCATCGATTTGGTTAATGGGTTATCGTACACCAGGATGCATAAGACTCCGTCTGCACCAAAACCAACCCAAGTGGAGAGCTCAGAAGGGTAACGAGACAGAGTTGTTTTCACTAAATTACACATGGCAGCAACAAGAAGCTAGGCAACGGAAGATGTGCGGTGGAGATGAAATCCGTTAGCTGTAAGTGGCCAGCAAACACCACCACAGGATCTTACAGCTGGCAGCAGATATTTAAGTTGGGTCCCCACATAAGCTGCCCACTTGTCGCGTTCTTGTGTTTTGTTTCTGGCTTTTTAGATATTTTTGACTCAACCACCCCTTTTTGTCTTTCCATAATTGTGAAACAACTTGGACCGGTCTCATTTCACCAAATTGGATAAGCCCGACATTGGATTTCGCTTTGCAATTTGTTTTGCTTGCGTCTTTTGCTGGTCATGTTTGACTATAAAGAAAATTACTCGGTTTTTTTAAGTTCGATCGGTGGATCGGATATTTTTGCACACCCCTAAAGAATATCTTCTTTTCTTTCCTTTTATTGAACGATTGGTTCTAAAACCCAATTAGTGTTTTGAAGAAAGAAAATCGAATTATGTTTAGGTTTATTTTTTCAGCAAAAATATGCCAGATGTCCTTGTACTTTTGGAAAAAAATCAATATGGCTCTCGTATTATTTTTTTCTCAATGTGACCCTTTGATCAAAGTTTTTCGTCGTTGATCATTATAATGTTGATATGACAATTCACTATAATGTCGTGACAGATGACATGACAGATAGGCTAAATTGAAAACTCAAACATGACAGATGAACTGTCACATCAACACTGTGGACCGCCATGTCAGCACATTGAACTATCACCCCAGCACCGTAACAATCATGGACGAAAAAAACTTTGGTCATGTAACATCCCAAACTAGGGGTTAGTGACTAAATTGTAAAGTTTCAGAATTTGGTGATTAAAGTAGAAGAAAAAATTAATTCAATGATTTATCTGGAAATAAATCTTAAAAGTTGTTAGTATTTATCAAATGAAGTAGAGGGAAAAATGGTCATTTGGCTAATAAATGAATTAAAAATAGATGATAAGGATTAATATGTTATAGGGGATAAGGATGAAGAGATATTCTCTTCATCTTCTTCTTCTTCTTCTTCTTGTACGAGAGAAAGAAAGAGTCAAGCTTCCAAAGGTAAGATTCCTTGTTAGCTGATTATTTGTTAATTTTAAGAGTGGGTTTTGATCATTAGGTAATACTTAAGCTTATGGATAGTTTAAGTTGTTCTAAAATCAAAAGATAAAGAAGTTATGAAAGATTAAAGAAAATGAGTTTTTAAGGGAAATTCTGAAAAAGGGGTAGTAAGTAAATTTTGAGAAGGAATTTGACTTGTCATCAATCTAATTAAGGAATATGGAGTGTTAGAATTAAAGTTAAAACATGTTAAAAATCTGGTATGATTCTTGAAACTAATAAAGAGGAGAGGATATTAAGGTTAAAGACGAGATAATTGATTATAAATGAGTTTAACATGTATATGAAAGTTAGGAATATGAAAGGGGGTGAAATATGAAGCATTTGAGTGAAGAGTTGATGATTTTCGGGTTCAAAAAGAGGATTCTGGGCAGAGTGCATCGATGCACATTCATATTGCATCGATGCATCAAGGTTAAAACCCAGAAATTGTTTGAATGTGCATCGATGCATTGGTAGTGCATCGATGCACTCTTTTAAAAGAAGAACATCGAATGCCTTTGATGCATCGATGCATAGCTAATGCATCGATGCATCCTTTTAAAATAATAACATCGAATGCAATCAATGCATCGATGCATAAGGAGTCCATCGATGCATCTCATTAATAAGGAAACATCGAATGCATTTAATGCACCGATGTACAAGTAGTGCATCGATGCATACTTTCATTAAAAGAGGAAATTGGCTTTTCTCTTAGCCTAAGAAGTGACAGTTTAGAATATATCAATTGGAATATTGATATGAATCTGTGTATTGTTATGTAGAGAAAGAACGTGATCCGTTTTGGGACAATTAAGGAATTAGAATCGAATCAAAGCAAAACTAAGGTGAGTGCAATTTAATTGTACTTGTGTTATTGATCAAACATTGGCTTGCGATGAGCCAGTGACAGAGTTACTATGGTAAGAAGTGACTCTTGATATGTTATGTGATTAACATGTATACATTAGTACCTAGAAATAGATGGATGATATGTTACATGATTTACATGCTTACGTGAAAATAAAACAAATGATATATGTTACTTGACATGACATGCATGGTTACATGAAAGAAAGCTACGTGACTACTTGTATATGTGATATGAATTTCATGAAATGATCTACGTGAATACATGTATATGTAATACATGTGATATGATATGAGATATATGGTTACACATACATGTGGTATGTGAAAGAAGAGAAAGAACAAGTGATATGAAATGTATAAATAAATGCCCATAGTATATGATACGAGAGCTATAGGTATAGTTGGCATGCCAAGAGTCGAGGGTTTACCTATGTTGAAAGGAACATATGGATAGTTACCGGGGTTCTTTGTAACCTCTGGACAGGTCCTTCGGGACGAATACTGAACGAATGTTCTGTGCCCCATGAGGGAATTTATACGAGCTGTGGTGACAGCATGAGTGCACAACCTCAATGTACTCACGTACCTCTATTCTCAATAATATACATGGGCAATGAAATTGAAAGACAAATGAAAGTGAAAGTGATATAAGAAGGTAAGTTGCATGTGTGCATGACCTTATTGTATATTGTTATCATACAATAGATTCATGCATATTGATATGTAATGATTCAATGATATGAATGCACATACATGAATTATATGATGTTATGTGTGGTTCTTGGTATAGTGATATATGTGTTATATGATGAGTATATGGTAAGTGGAAAGGATTATTGATAGTGTTTGCATATATATACCTTTTATTTATATGAAATGATATATGGTTATATTATATGTTTTATATGCCTCACTAAGTCTATGACTTAGCGTGTAAGTGATTTACACGTAGGTACCAAGAAACGAGAAGTGAAAGAATAGAAGTGGCAAAGACAGTATCACTACTAAAAGATCATATCAGAAGTATTTGACAAAGTATGTATTTGGTTATGTATAAAGTGTTGGTATGTAATAAGTCATTAAGTACGAGCACTCTAATAAAGTCTGTATTTTGTTTTAAATAAAGTTTTTAAATTTCCCGGGATTTTCTATAAGAGTCAAAGTTTGAAAAGTCAATGTGACACCTCGGACTCGTATTCGGGTCGGATACGGGTTGGGGGTGTTACAGGTCAAATGACCATATTGAATTTTTTCCCCTTCTAAATTAGAGGGTCACATTGAGAAAAAAATAATACGAGGGTCACATTGATTTTTCCCCAAAAATACAAGGACCTCTAATGGATTTTTACCTATTCTTTGTTTTTGTTTACGCATATGAGTTTATAATATAATAATTTCATTTGATATTTTTTTAGTCATTCATATGACTTGGTTTGAATAAAAAGCAGTAGTATACACTGTTTCTTTTGCACATGTCTTGTTTTTATTTTTAGTTTTACTCATCATTTTAATTTAAAATTTAAATTTATAAAATTTTTGGAGTAATTTATTTGGTTAAAAGAATTTTTTATTTTTATTTTTGGAGTGATTAACCATTGGACTTCCTCAATTAAATTGTTCTTTATATATATTTTATTAAATAGAATCATACGTAACCGTTATAATACCGATGTGGCAGTTTCACGGTGTTGACGTGACAGTCTATCTGACATGTTTGAGTAACCAACCAGTTTAGCCCATCTACTATGTTATTCGCCACTTTATCGACCATCGTGAACTGTCATTTTAGCGTCGTGGACTTCCACGTCAGCACCGTGAAACTGCCACATCGGTATTATAACGGTCAACGATGAAAAACGTTGGTCAAAGGGTCGTATTAAATTTATTTTATGAGTTGGAGGATCACATTGAGTTTAAAATAATACAAGGGTCACATTAATTTGTTTTCAAAAGCACAAGTATCTCTTATGCTTTTTGCCTTTATGTTTTAACCCCTTCAAATTTAAACTTATAAATCATAAATTATAAGTGATTATGTAATTAAAATTATTTTAAAACTTTTAATAATCAAGAAAAATCAAAATCAACAAAACAGCATACTATAATAAAAATATAAATAAAATTAAAATCTTGTTTACATAATCCATCAATTTTTTCCATTTTTTCCTGACCCCATAATTTCTTCTTCTTTTTGATTTGGTCCATAAAATTTGAATATCAATGGTAGAAAGATGTAGTTGAAAATTAAAAATGTGTTGGTCCATAAATAAAAAAAAATTATGAACTCTAAGCACGTTTCAATTCTTAAAATTGATAGATCTGTCACACAAAAGATAACTACTAAAATAATACACAATTAAAATTATAAAACCGCCACGACTAATTAATATGACGCTTTATTTGTTATCATGCTGACATTCCATGCTTTGGACCCTCGAATTGGATTCGGCTACGCGATTCTTGTTCGTGGATAATATTTTCACATCGTTCAATTCTTATTTGTGATTTGTTAGTGGTCTTTTAATAGTTTCATCATCTTTTGTGATTCGTTTACTGATGTAATTAAATTTATTCATATTTCTTTTATCCGAGTTTATTAGGTTAGATTTTTTAACCTTTTCTTTATACGGTGCTTGTGATCTTGAGTGACTGTTTTCTTTTTTCGATTTATTTATTAAACGAATTCTACCTTATATTTTCAAATTATATCAAACAAAATTCCAAATACAATTTTTTATACCAAATAAAATTAATTACCTAGCACTATTTCAAGTCACACCTTTCTATCAGATTTCCATCTCGCACGTGATTAAAAAAGAATTTAACAATCCTCACTAGCCTTTGTTTTCAACCGAAGGGCGAGAGAAATTGTTTAGCAATTGCAGTAGAAGCACAACCACAAATAAAAGCAAAAACGATGATACCAATAATCCGTCGATTTAGTAGGACGAAATATTATATCCTTTAAATAAAATTAAAAGTTTTAATTTTGACAATTATGAATTAAACAAACTTAATTGAGATGATCATCTTTATCTCTACAATATTCGATCTTAATTAATTGATCAATATATCAAATACACGAGGGAATAAAACAACAAAATGACGGGAAAAACTAAAAAAATAATGTAAATTAATTAATAACGTAGGTAGAACCCGAAAACAATCCAAGTTCATTCACTGTTAAATCACAGTGGTCCCCCACTTGACCGTGTTAATTTGAATGTTTCTAAAAATTTGGATAAAGTACACTAAAGGTCCCTAAACTATGATCAGATGGTCATGCTTGTCACTTAACGTTCAAAAATTGTAAATCACCATTAAACTTAGGTAAAAGGCATCAAGGTCCCTGTACTTTTTTTAAAAAAGTCAATCGCCCTCATATCAGTTTTTTACTCAATGTGACACTCCAACTTAGAAAACAAAACCAATGTAATCCTTTGACCAATATTTTTCGTCGGTTAACCGTTACGGTGTTGAGTGCTGATGTGGCGGTCCACAGTACTGATGTGGTAATTCATATGTCATGTTTGAGTTACTAATTTAACACATCTGCCACGTTATCCGCCATGTTATCAACCACCGTGGACTACCACGTCAACACCGTGGATCGACACATCAACATAGTGAACTGTCACGTCAGCACCGTAACGATTAATGATGAAAAACATTGGTCAAAGGTCCACATTGGGCTTATTTTTTTTAGTTTGAGGGCCACATTGAGAGAAAAAATAATACGAGGGTCACATTGATTTTTTTAAAAGTACATGAACCTCTTATGCCTTTTTACCTTAAATTTATAACAACTGATATAATAAAATGTTTTCAACATTATTAACCACCACGTCAGTATTTTAACAATCAACACTAATTAAATAATAAAATTAATATGATTAAATGAGTTCAAGGATAAAATTGATATAATTAAAAAAGAAAAGAAATTAATTTGAGTATACTAAAAAAATAAAATGATCCCTCCTTAAACCAATATTTTATGATAATTTGATAAATTTTATGGTCATTATATAAATTTCACCCACCATCATTTATGATGTAATTTAAGTAAATATGGAGGAGCTTAAATTAATTTTATCTTGCATGGATAAGGATTAATATATGTGAAATAAAAAATTGAGATCCAAAATAAAACTTATGAATATTAATTTGATGTAAATTTTATCACACTATTTTTTAAATTATAAAAGAAACTTTAAAAGTAATTGTTACTCTAATGTAACGTTGACTCAACTAAAGCTATATTCAAACAGTAGTAGTAGAATCAGATTAGCGAGATATAGTATAACACGTTTTAATGAAATTATTTTTTATTTTTTAATTTATTATAATTTTTAAAATTATTACTTTTATAAATAATTTTATTAAATTTGTAGTCTTTACTGTAAGATTAAATAAGTAATTGAATTTTCATTTAAAATCAGCTATGCCCTTAATTTCAAAAAAAAAAAAAGAAGTAAATCTCTACTACATCGGTATAAAGAACCACTTCATCAACATCATTAACTATCACCTCATTACCATAAAGATCAACATTGATCTAAATATGAAATTGATGTAATTAAATGAGTTATAAGATAAAATTTATTTAATTAAAAAATAATAAAAATATTAATTTAAATTTACTACGAAGATAAAATGACTACTTAAACCAATATTTAGTTAGGGTAAATTAAACCAATTATCACTGAACTTTAGTCTCTCTCCTATTTCACTCACTGTATTTTAACTCCGTTCAATTTACTTACTGAATTTAATACAATTAGCATTTTTGATCACTCAACTGTTAAATATTTAACGGTTTTAAAATGATTCTATTTTTCATCTATATAACGGCTCATTTATAACGTTGTTTAGTAAGAAAATGATTGAGTGATCAAAAATACTAATTGTGCTAAATTCAGTGAGGAAATTGAATGGATTTAAAGTACAATGAGTGAAATAGGAGTAAGAGTAAAGTTCTTTGATGATTGGTGTAATTTACCCCAAATCTTATGGTCATTGTATAAATGTACAAAATTTAATAGAAAAATGATCATTTCATTGTAATTTAAGGACCTTAAGGTATATTTTCTCTCGAAATTTTCCCACCCAAATCAGTAATAAAGTGAATTTTAGCTCTGTTTTGAAAACCGGACCAGATCGGCCGGTTCAACCGGGAACCGTTGCTTAGTCATGTTCAATCTAAACCGGTTGAATCACTATTAGTGAACCGGCCAAAACTGCTAAACCGTTCGAACCGGACCGGCTGAAAACCGAAAAAAACCGGGATTTTTGTTTTTGTTTTTTAAAAATTAAACCAAACAACGTCGTTTGTTAAACGAGCCAAGTCGAACTCGAGTATTGCTGAGCTCGACTCGAACTTGAAAGCTTTAAAAGTAAGTTCAACTCAACTCAAACTCACAAGTTAAAAAATTATCAAGTTCAACTCAAACTCGAAATATAATATTGAAACTTGAACTCAAAAAGGCTTGAACTAAAAAAAATTAGAAGCTCGATTGAAGCCTAAAATTCGAGCTTAATTGAAGTAAAAGAATAGTTCATTCAATGCTCACCAAAAGGCTCCATGATTTTGAATGCCAAATTACCTCTATTATTTATAGAAGTTAGTTGTGATGCGCTTCTATGTTTCTTAGTAACGTGAGATTGTTTTGTTCTCATATTTTTACTCTTTAGACTTTTGGGATGCTCTTCTATGTTTCTTAGCCATGTGGGATTGTTTTTAAAAAAATTAAACCAAACAATATCATTTTTTTATGATTTTTTTAACCCCAAATTTATTTTTTAATTATAGTTATATAATTATATTTATTATTTAATATGTTTTACCTTAAATATTATGTTGTAGTTAATTTGAATCATTTTGTTTCACTTGATTTTATGGTTTTTAACTTATATATGTCATGACTTGCTTTGAATATGATTTGTAATATAAAAAATTATTTTTTATTAAATATTTTTGATATTTTTATTTAATTTTTTAAATAATTATGACGTCGTCCGATTCTTTCGACCAATCGAACCGGTTGAACCAGTGAACCGATAGCGTGACCAGTTCACTAACCGGTCCGGTTCTGAAAACCATGAATTTTAGTTAACATTTTTCAGAAGGTTGATTGCTGTTTTCCGTTGACGTACCTTCCACGAACCTGAAAGTAATTTGCAAAAAAGAAAGCATTTTTTATTTCAAAAAAAAAACAACAAAAGGCAAACAGTAACTTGAGTTGACTTGACTTGAATCGCTATAAATTTCATAAGCTTTCAGCTTTCCTTCAAAGCCAAAGCTTTTACAGCACCTTCTTCTTCCCCAGTTTTACTACAGAGAGTATTCCCAGAGCTCTAAAATGACGGTTAGATATATATATATATATATAGATAGTGCTTTTAGACTATGGAGTCTTGCTTTGATCGAGATATTAACAGAAACTGGTTTTGTTTTTTGTTTTTTCCGACAGAAAGTTGTGTTGAAATTGGATTTTCACGACAACAAATGCAAACAGAAAGCCATGAAGATAGCCTCTGGTGTTTCGGGTATTGTGTTTTCGTAATCAAATAGTTAACTTTGCAGTCGGATCGGGTCGAATTTTATTTCGGAAGCGACCCTTTTCGAATCTTAATATTATTATTGAAGCTATTTATTTTATCGGCAGGGGTTGAATCAGTTGCCATGGACAAGGATCAAAAGCTAACGTTGACGGGGGACATTGATCCGGTGGAGGCAGTGAGGAAACTGAGGAAGTTATGTCACACCGACATAGTCTCCGTTGGGCCGGAGAAAAATCTGGAGAAGAAGGAGGATCCTAAGAAAAACCAGCAGAAAGAGGTTATAATGACCTACCCCTACCCGCCGTTCGCCCAATGCTACCCTCCGGTGCCCTACTGTTACGCTTACGGTAAAAGCATTGGGGAAGATCCAGCTGGTGGTTGCGTTATCTGCTAAAATTTTGCTCATAATAGTTGTTGGAGTACAATCAATGAAGAAGATGATGAACGACTAGCTCTGTATTAGGGTTTTTTTCTTTCTTTCTTTTTTCTACAGCGGGCTGGGTTTATTTAGTTCGGAATTTTGCTGTGATATTTTAATTTCCAATTTAAATGTATTTTTTTTATTTACATGGATTGCATTTTCAACGTTAAGGTGTAAAATTTATTGGCTTATATCACAAATAAGCAATTAAATTATATTTTTTTCTCATTTGTGTAGTTAAAGTATTTTTTGATCAAAATAAATATTTAAAGTTGTCTTTTTTATCAAATTAAATATCTAAAGTATTTTATGTTAAAATATGTACCTAAACTATTTAAACTTTTTCATTTAGGTTATAAAAAAGTTGACATGTTGTATTAATTAAATAATATTTTAGGTATTTAAATAAAAAAAATTGAATAGTTTAAGTACCCATTTTGACCAAAAATATAATTTTAAGTATTTATTTTGATAAAAATATACTTTAAATACTTTGTTATATAAGCCAAAGTTGTATACAATCAGTAATGTTTTGTAATAAAATAATTATTTTATTTTCATTTATCTTTAATTTAATTGCTTAATATATCAATAAAAAAATTTAGGAATAATGTTAAAATTAGCCCTGGTTACAAAAATAATCATTTTGTCATTTATTATATTTTTGGAGCATTTTGACAACTAACGTTCCGTTTTAGGACAAAAGACCATAACATTTGACAGAATAATCATTTTATCCCTTATTCTTTTTTCTAGGTCATTTTAGCCCTCAACGTTTCATTTTAAGTTAAAAAAATTTATATTTTAGAATGTTAATCGTGTGTTAACTAATGATTTTCATCTATGGAGATAACACAAAGTAAAACGTTGGGACCCAAAATACTTTAAAAATATGAGTAAAAGTGACATTTTAATAAACGTTCGGAGATTCCATGTTCAAGTCTTTAAAATTGACAGATATGTCAAACTGAAAAACAACACATAGAGAAATATATTTTATATATGTCTATTTATTTAACTTTAATTACTTTACGTGTATTATATCATTAGTTAAGATTTAAGACAAAATTTATCTTAAAATTATATCATAATTAACGCTTATATAGTTTTTAGACACTGACTCATGTCTCGTAACCCCATGTGACAAGGCGCCATTTTTAATAATATCATCAAAGACGACGTAAGAAGAGAGAACATTGACCTTCTATGAACCATTCGCCAGGACCACCGCTCTCTTCATAAGGTAAACTACATATTTAATATATAAACTATTAATTTTTATCTATTTTAATATTTAAACTTTAAAAAATAATGACTCGATCGGGTAAGATGGAATTGTTGTCCATTAAGGTGTTGGTATATAGTAAAGGGTAAACTTAGCTACCAACTTTTAGAAGTGCTTTCGTTTTAAATATTTTAATTATAGTTTTAAACTTTTTTAAATTGATCATCTTTTTAACGTCACTAATAAAAATCAGGGTAAAGTATACAAATGGTCCCCGACTATAGGATGTTATTTTTAAGTCTCTTGATTATTAAAAGTTACAAAATAGTCCTATGACTATATATTATTACTTTGTTAAGTTCCTCGACTATTAAAAGTCATAAAATGATCACTTCGATATTCATTATATTTCAAACTCATCATTTTCCATTAAAAAATGATGTTTGTCTAAGTTGGACGGTAACATGATGATTAAGATATGATAGTCGTTTGAGATTCTGGGATCAGATTTTATCATATCACAGTAATCAAGTTAATGTTCAACTCAAACCGTAAATTTTTAAACAGAAAATGATGTATTTGGAACATAATGAATAGTCGAGTGACCATTTTGTAAATTTTAATAGTCGAGGAACTCAACAAAGCAACACTTTACAGTCGGAGAACTATTTTATAACTTTTAGTAGTCAATGGACTTAATAAAATAATACCTTATAGTTGGGGACTATTTGCGTACTTTACCATAAAAAAGAAATACTTGAATATAAAAATTTAATTAATTGAATCAATGAATGGAAATTGAATTATTCATGAATACCGCCTTCAAGTCAAGAAACCATCATCCAACTAAGAAATGTACGCTACTCAACCAGATATTATTCAAGCACGTGATTTAGAAAGACGGATGAACATCCACTCAACCCGCTACGGCGAAATTGTTTAGCAATTGCAGTGGCAACTGATACAAAGCAAACTTAAATTAATCAGCACGATAATCATTATTGTTTTCCAATTGGAGAATAAAAATGAGTTAGTAGAGATTAAATAGATATAACATTTAAATATTAAGTATTATTTTTTCTAAGTTATGATTAAATTGAACAAAATATAAAGATTAAAGGTTAACTTTATTATTATATTACATCATTGAACATAAACTTTTGAATGAAAAAGGACTAATTTATTACTTATTTTAAGTCAAATGATCTATTTATAAATTTTGGGCTTATTATCAAAATAAGTATCTTTCGGTGTATAACGTTACAAATATTACCACTTTAGGTGCCCAGGTCATCAACGGTGTTATTTTTCCCCATTAAGTGACACGAGCCACAATATAATAATTTTAAAAAAATTATATAAAATTTTAAAAAAATTATATTAAAAAAAAAGAAAACACAAAAAAATTTGAAATAACCACTAAACCTGCACCGTGCTTTGCCATCTATGAAGCTCCACCAACCTCATTTCCTTCCGACGATCAAAACTCTTATGAAATTGTGACCGATTGACGATCAATTAACGGCGAATTGACGATTTATACCCAGCGAACCCTATGATGAAAATCACTATCTCACGCATTTTCAACGGTCAATCGTCGACAACTATAATGACATATGACTAGGAGGATGGCAAGGACTACGTCGATGACAATGGTCGTGGCCGGAAAGGGCAACAACTGTAGGTTAATGTTAAGATTTTAGGGATTTTGGGCTTTTTGTAATTTAAGAGAATTAGAGTTTTTAAAGTAAATATAATAAAAATATAATAACATTTCTTAAAAAATAAATTTAAAAATCATCAGATTGTGACACATTTTGGGCCGGTTCAATCTACACCGGTTGAACCGCTACTAGTGAACCGGCTAGAACCGCTGAACCATTCGAACCAGACCGGCTGAAAACCAGAAAAAACCGAAAAAAATCACCAATTTTATTTTTAAAAAAATTAAACCAAACGACGTCGTTTGTTAAACGAGCCAAGTCGAACTCAAGTATTGTTGAGCTCGACTTGAACTTGAAAACTTTAAAAGTAAGCTCAACTCGACTCAAACTCACGAGCTAAAAAATTATCAAATTCAACTTGAACTCAAAATATAATATTGAAACTTGAACTCGAAAAGGCTTGAAGTTAAAAAAAATTTAGAAGCTCGATTGAAGCCTAAAATTCGAGCTTGATTGAAGTGAAAGAATAGTTCACTCAATGCTCACCAAAAGGCTCCATGATTTTGAATGTCAAATTACCTCTATTATTTATAGAAGTTAGATGGGATGCTCTTCTATGTTTCTTAGCCATGTGGGATTGTTTTGTTCTCATATTTTTACTCTTTAGACTTTTGGGATGCTCTTCTATGTTTATTTGACATGTGGGATTGTTAAAAAAAAAATTAAACCAAACAATATTATTTTGTTATGATTTTTTAGTCCCAAATTTATTTTTTAATTATAGTTATATAATTATATTTATTATTTAATATGTTTTACCTTAAATATTATGTTGTAGGTAATTTGAATTATTTTGTTTCACTTGATTTTATGGGTTTTAATTTATGTATGTTATGACTTGCTTTGAATATGACTTTGATATAAAAAATTATTTTTTATTAAATATTTTTGGTATTTTTATTTAATTTTTTAAATAATTATGACGTCGTCCGGTTCTTCCGACCAATCGGACCGGTTGAACCAATGAATCGGTAGCATGGCCGATTCGTTAACCGGTCCGGTTCTGAAAACCATGCATGTTGCTTAACGGAATAAATTAACGCCGTTGACAGTCCGAACACCTAAAATGATAACATTTGTAACATTAGACATCGAGATAAATCAAAAAATACTATAGACATCTATTCATGTAAAACGATATAGTTTGTATAATTATTTGTGATATTAAACCTAAATTTTGATCATCACAAAACTTAACCCAAAAAAGTCCTGTACTTGAGAGTCAAATATGTTACTTTATATGCAGCAGTGTCCCCACACGACCGAGTCAGTTGGAACTTGGAAGGTTTATAGAAATTTCCCCAGCCACAATCACTTTTCAAAGGAAGGATATCAAACGGTAACGTTTTTAGATCGAAGTACCTTCCACGAACCCGAAAGTTCTTGCAAAAAGAAGGCTAACACGTATCTGTATAACTTGACTTATAGGTTGACTTTCCCCTATAAATTCCACAAGCTTCACCATTTCCATCAAACCCAAAGCGTCTTACACTGCTTTCCTCTTCCAACAATTTCCCTCTCAGCTTCGATACACAAAAGCTCCATAATGAAGGTTAGATTCTACACTTCTTCTGTTGTTCTGCAAGTAAAACTACTTTTATATGCTGGCTTTTAGACTTTGATCTGAAATATTGACGGTGAGATGTTTTGTTTTTCTTTTCCGGCAGAAAGTTGTGCTGAAATTGGATTTTCACGACGAGAAATGCAGACAGAAAGCCATGAAGACGGCCTCCGGTATTTCGGGTATGGTATAATTAACAAACTTGCTTTTTTTTTAGTTCGAAAGCCAGATCTTGAAGAAGAAAGAACCTAACTTTAACTGTTTTTGCAGGGGTCGAATCGGTTTCCATGGACAAGGACCACAAACTGACGGTGACCGGAGACATTGATCCGGTGGCGGCGGTGAGGAAACTGAGGAAGCTATGTCACACCGAAATCGTTTCCGTCGGACCGGCGAAAGAGCCGGAGAAGAAGAAAGAAGAGCCGGAGAAGAAGAAAGAAGAGCCGAAAAAGGATGAAAAGAAAGATGAGAAAGCACACATAAACCAACCGCCCTACCCGTATACCTTTGTATATTATCCGCCGGTACCGGATTCTTACACATACGGCAAATACGTGGGAGAAGATCCCGCCGGTTGTGTTATCTGCTAATTTTTTTTGTTCCAATAGGTAATCAAATGATTTGAATTATCCACGTGATAAATTTCTAATGAATAAGATACTGATGATTATAAAAAAAACTATATAATTATAAGGGATTAGTGCCTTTTTAGTTATTTTGTACACAACGGTAAGGCAATTTAGTTTGGAAATTTTGATGTATTTTTTTAAATTAAGCTTATTAAGTTTTTTCCCCTCTACATATGTTGTATTATTTTATTTTCCGAATTAATGAAAATTTTCAATTTTATATTTGATGCATACAATCATTGAATTAGTTTATATTATTCATCGATTTTATTGATGATAAGTTTATTTAAAAAATAAAAATAGGTTTAATTATATAATAGTATCAATAAAAATAGAAATATTAACGCTTCAAATAATTATTATGGTCCAAGACATCAAACTTATCCCGTACACTAACTCCTCTCCCCCTTACAAAGTAGAAAAAATAACCTCAGTGACCAAAAATGCCTTATAATATACGAATTTAACCAATTTTTTTGGATTTGCCAAAATGACCAACAAATTCGCAACGCGAATTCCAATTCCGCAACCCAGTTTCCAATTTCGCAACACGAATATGTAAATCGCATTGCGATTTTCCAAATTCGCGTTGCGATTTTCCAAATTCGCAACGTGATAGTCAAATTCTCAATGCGAAAGTCAAATTCGCAACGCGATAATCAAATTTGCAACGCGGATTTAATTTCGCAACAGGTTTTAGTTTCGCAACACAAATGTTTTGGGTATATAACAACGCAGCAGCAACAACTCATAACCTAAATCCCTAAATCACAACTCATTTCATCTCTATCTATCACTCTCTCCGGCGACATCCGTTCCTATATCCAACGACATCCTTTCCCATCTCTATTTTTTTACATAATTTTATTTCTATATAATTATTCAATGATTTCTCTCCCAAATTATCAACTATCAACTTAATAAATGTATATTTTTCTCTAAGTTAGTGATGATATCTAGTTTATAGCTCGCTTGTTTAGTAAATTAATTTACAATTTTTAGAATGAAATCATCTAATGTTGATCATGTTTGGATAGATTTGTGTTTTGGAGGGTCATGGGAGAATGTTCATGGTGTTTTACAATATGTGCCTTTACCCATGAATCTTCAACTAAAACTGTCATTAAAAAGTTAACTTATGAAACTTTAATGTTACGTGTTGTAAATAAATTGAATTTAGAGCCTCTAAGTGAATTTAGATTATCTTATATGAGAAAAAGTAAAGTTTATTTGTTAACCGACAATGAAGATGTTGAACGATTCATTGCTTACATTAGTGTTTTGCAAGAAGATGATGTTACATTATATGATGTTGAACCTAGAAGTAGTGAAGTTGGGTCAGTAGCAGGTAGTAATCAACTAAGTTCTTCAACCCAAAAATTTAATGGTTCCACCACAATTTCATCACCAACCAAATTTTGTTTCACCACATTTTCAATACCAAACACAATATCAAACACAATCTCAAAACCCACAACATTTTCCTAATCCAAATCTCAATCAACTTTCAGCACCAAATTCCGGTTTTCGTATTGACCAGTTAGACGATTATGAGCCAACAGAAAAAATTGTGAGTACTAGTCAGTATTCGAAATTTGATCTTGGTCAATACCCGGACTTTGATCTTGGTCAATACTCGGATTTTGATGATGTGATGGAAGAAGAAACAGACCCTGCATGTAATGATTTTGATATTGGTCAAAATCTGAATTTTGATGATGAAACAGCCGCTGCCGAGGAAGATGTTGTTGATGATAATGAGGAGGAAGTTATGACTATGAATGAACATGTTGAACATCCATTATGTAATTCATATAACCCTGAAGAAGAAGAAGAAGAAGTCCCCGAATAAAGGAAAAAGAAGAAAATTCCACGGGGGAGTATAACTGGAATATACCAGAATTACTTCAGATACCAGAAGAAGAGCTGGTAAAGATATCAGTTGATTGTTACATAAAAGTTATTCGTATCAAGAAAGATGATTGTTTTGATACAAAGGAAGACTTGAAGATAGCTTTGTATACGAAATGTGTGGAAGATGACTATCAACTAAGAGTTAACAAATCAAGCAAAGATCGTTTCGAAACAAGGTGTATGATTGACAAAACCTGTACGTGGCGTATGATTGCTAAGAGGATAAAAGATTGCGAAATGTTTCAAGTTAGGACTTTGACTTTTATTGATAAACATACACGTTCAAGAACCCAAGTTTTTCCTCACCATAGACAGGCAAACAAAAAGGTGTTGGGTGGTTTTCTGGCTGAGTTAATGTTTTTGAATGGAAGGGTATATCGGGGACATGAAATTATGACTGACATGAATGCTCGGTTCAAGATTAGTATCTCATATTCTCAAGCTTGGAGAGCCAAATGTTATGCCTTGGAATTATTGAGGGGGTCGCCAGAAGCATCGTTTGCCCAACTGCCGGCTTATTGTCACAATTTTAAAGCTGAAAAATGATGGGTCGGTAACTCATATCAAAACAGATAGAGATGGACGCTTTGAGTTGATGTTTATCGCCATTGGTACTGCGGTTAGTAAATAATTATAATTTTGTTGACTCATTTTTGTTAGTTGCATGCATTTCACATTTAAATGATTATATTTCTTGTGTATATGATTTTGTAGATTCGTTCGTTTATTACTTGCATGCGCCTAGTTATTATAGTTGATGGAGCACATTTGAAAGGTCGATACCTTGGAGTAAACTTATTAGCAGTAGTCATGGATGCTAACAATGGGATACTGCCAATAGCTTACGGGGTTGGCAAATCTGAAATCTCTTATTCATGGACATGGTTTATGGGGCATCTTAGGGATTACATAGGTCCTATTAACAATCTGACAATCATATCCGATAGGGCAAACTCAATTGACAACGCTGTTAGAAGGTGTTTCCCAGATGCTTTTCATGGACTTTGTGGTGTTCATTTGTATAGAAATCTAAAATCAAGGTCTGCTAGTATAAAAAATCACAAATGGACATACTGGAAGGCTGTAAAAGTTTATCGGGAAGTGGATTTTAATAAGCATATAAATTTTTTAAGACGTGTAGAAGATGTCGGGTTTGAAAGATGGTCAAGAGTACATCAACTTGGAGCAAGATATGGTTTCATGACGTCTAATAGTGCAGAATCAATCAACGCTCTAAGTCGTCATTCCCGGAAATTACCCATTACTATGTTAATGGAGTTTTTTCGAGCCTATTCAACAGTGGTACTACAAGAAAAGAAACCATGCATGTATTATTTCTTTAAATTCGTAACTTATCATATATTTTACTAAGTATAATTTATTTAAATTTACAGGAACATTGGAACGTCGTGTTACACCATGGACTGAAAAAAAGATAACGAAACGTGTTGTGAAGTTAACGTCCTGGAGAGTTGAACCATGTTCAAACACTTTGTTTGAAGTATTGGATAATAATTTAAATGGGTTTGTCTATCTAAATGCAAAGACGTGTAGTTGTAAGAAATGACAAACATCTGGTTATCCGTGTGGCCATGTTATAAAAGTTGCTCTTCATCTAAACCAAGATGATTCAAGCGCATACGCTATGGATTGCTACACTACAGAAGTATATCGACAGACATATGTCGAGATTGTCTACCCATGTCCACATCCTTCTGAGTGGGACATACCAGATGACTTACAAACAGTTTTGCCACCAGTCATGGACAGCAAGCTACCTGGCCGACTAAAAAATCACGATCGTATACCGTCTAAGGGTGAAGAAAAGAGGATATCGACATGTAGTCGGTGCAAGGAGAGTCGTCATACAAGGTTGACTTGTGGATCACCAGGGCCATCACAATCATCTTTTCCTCTACCAAAAAATGGATCCTCGTCAAAATCCAAAGCTCATATGGTGCCAAGCAAAAGGAAATCAAAATCGCAATCAAAATCAAAATCCCAATCACAACCGACTTCACCTTTTGGGACTTATTAACTTAGGTGATTTTAAAATGCAAACGTTGTATTATGTGTATTTTATGTGTGAATGCATACATTTTCAGTTAGACATTCATTAGTAACTTGAGTTTGAACATTGATATGATCTGTTCAGTTGTTATCATGTTGGGATTTTCTCTTATGTTTGATTGCTTGGATAGTTGTTCTCTTGCTTCTTCAAGTGTCCTTAGCTTGTATTTATAGATTGTAATGTGTTTGATGTTGTATATACCTTGATGTTGTATGTTGCGATCAACGCGAAAATCAAATTCGTAACGCGAAATAAGCGTAGCGAATTTGACTATCGCGTAGCGAATTTGACTTTCGCGTTGCGAATTTGACTATCGCAACGCTTATTTCGCGTTGTAAATTTACCTTTCGCGTTGCGAATTTACCTTCAATAGGTTTTTTTTACCTTCAACATAATTCAGATTGAAAATTAAACAACAAATCAATTAAACATTGTTGTGGGTAAATTATTTGAACATTGTTATGGGTACATTATTTGGAAAAATAATGTTTCGGACTTCGTTAGAAATAACCCTTTTTCATCAGATTAATTTTGTTTTTGTGGGTACATTATTTGAACATTGTTATGTATAAATTTGTTGTGTATGTATGTTTTGGTTTGATTATATTGTATGTATATTTTCATACAGATGAGATGGGTTGTGTATAACAAAACAATCTATCTCTTCCATATGAGTACTTTATTCTAACCATGTGACAAGTGTGACAACCCCATCAACTCACAACTCAACTTTGAACTCAATCAATATTGTCTTTTAACTTGATGGTTCATAAAGCATGTTACTTGAACAATATGAATCAATTATGCAATTTCCATGTTCAATTTAACACTGCATTTCAAATTCATTTCATATGTAATTGGAGTTTGAATTTAAATTTCAATTTGAGTTTGAATTTCAATATAAATTTCGGCTTCACTATAAATATTAGCCCAAGCCAATATGCATGTTATCATTTATTATTCCTAATTTCCATTGTTTTTTTTTCAACTTTAAACGCGAGGGAAATCTCGACCATCGTATTTTTTGGTCAACTTTAAAGCGTCAGAAACGTTTCGGGCGTATGATCTGGGTGGTA